TATATACATACCGCTCTCTCTCCTCACAGAATGTATAAAAAAGAACAAAGAAACTTTAGGCTTATATATATATATATATATATATATATATATATATATATATATATATATATATATATATATATATATATATATATTTTTTTTTTTTTTTTTTTTAAGTTACTTTTAAGACAAAGTACTGTAAAAAAAAATCTTGAAAAGTTGACTGGCTGCATGTTATTTTTCTTCTCCAATCTCATTTTAACATGTTAGGAACTGCAACATGAATGAGCCAGTGAAAGTGATACAATGCTGTGCAAGATTTGTTTTCTTCATTACCATGTTAAACAATAAGAGACCTCACTAAAATGTTTAGAAGATCCTGTAATCTTGTATTTTTTATACTTTCAACATGTGTGTGTGTGTGTGTGTGTGTCTATTTATAAACCATGTCCAATAAATGGAACAGGAACTGCCTTCTTTCTTTTCTCAAGGGGATATTTATTCAAGTTAAGGTTTTTAATCAGAGTATTTAAAAGACAGGGATATTACGAATGAGCCATTTTCATTTGTTGACCAGTTGAGGTCCTCTGATTTAAACAGTATTTATAACAGCTGTTATGAGTGTTATGTCTGTACCAGGTAACCCAACTAGTCTAGTTTGATATTATCTACTCAAGTACTTAGGCATACTTAGTACTTTTCTGTGGAGGATATCTTGGTAAATGTTTCTCCAAAGATCTGCATGTTTTTGGAGGAACAAAGATATGCAGATCTTTGTTCCTCCAAAGGGTAGGAAAAGAAAGGGAGAAAAGAAGAGAAAGGGTTTAAAGGGAAAAAAGGACACGGGTAAGGGAGAGAAAGAAGCATAGAGAAAAGAAAAGTCAACGCCCTTGAAGTCTGCCTCTAGATCTGCAGAAATAAACAAGTCATTACACAATGTATTTAGTGACTAGATTTTTATATATATCAATCTGACTGGATATCACCAAGTGAGAAATAAAGTTACATCCATGAATCTTTCATGTCATTTTTACTACCAGACCTTTACTATTGAAACATGTTAAGAGATGCTGTCTTTGAGAGGCCTCAGATTCTTGAGTTTTTGTACATTCAAATATAATTTACCTTCAGTTTGTTAAACTCTTTAATGGGTAAGTTCCATTTCATTTCAACACTGTGTTGTTCAAGCTTTATATGAGCCAGACCATTAGAAGGATATACAGCAGAAGGTAAAGTAGGGAGGACCTCCATCTTCTTTTCTGAGTTCTGGAACTCATAAAAGACAGCAGAGGCTCTAGTGTAATATAATGTTAATATGCTGCTAGCCTGTTCCAGTCAATGTTAATGCTTATTGTAAACTTGAAAATTTGTTTGTGACTTTAGTCCAACAGAAAAAACATTAAGATGTTGTCCATAATAACTTTCTGGATCGTTACTATCAGTCTCAGTATGTATTAAATGAACAGATCAAATGAGATCAGGTAAGAAGTACAAACTAGCAAAAGGAGGAGATCTAAAATAAAATAAATCATTTTTATGACAGTCCCATTTTTTACAGCTAACGAATAAATGCCCAACAACCGGAAACCTGAGCAAAAATAGTAAGAACTATTTTTGCCTGTGCTTGTAACCAAAGAACGGTTACAAGCACAGGCAAATTAGAAAAGTTGTATGTGGAAGGAAATTTAAGGTAAAACATTTCCAAATAAAATTAACA